TTATAGAGAAAACAAACGCTAACAACTAACAAGTTTTTTCAACATTAGTGACGTCAAGAAAGTTAAACCAACTAAAAAAATAGTTTACAAGAAACTCAAGGCTAACAATAGCAACCAGAGCTTTCTAAATCAGCAGATTCAGGCGAGGATTTAAATGAGAACCAGGCTGAGGTGCACACATCCAGGAAAAGGCACAAACCAAAGCACCTCAATGATTATGTAGTGTATTTATTGATTGTGAATGACAGTGAACAAATCAGCTACGAGAATACAGTAAGAGAACCAGAGAGCCAACTTTAGCAAAATGCTATGGAGCAGAAATTTTAAGCTATCCAAAAGAACAGCACCTGGATCTCAACTGGCCTACTCCCAAATTGCAACATCTTAGGTACAAAATATGGGTACAAAAAAAATTAACAAGGACCAAAAAATTGTATACAAAACTAGATTAGTTGCAGAAGGCTTCAGTACAAAAGCCGGATAATGATGCCACGTACACTTAAGTTTTTCGACTGTTTGTGAAGCTTCTACTAGTATTTACCACTAGGTATAGTTTTTACGTCAAATACTTCTGTATCCACACTGAATTTCTACACAGTAAGTTGACGAAAGAGGTGTATCTACAGCTTCTTTCCAGAACTTGCAAAACCCAAATCAATTTTGTAAGTTAAACAAGGCGCTTTATGACTAAAACAGAAGAGCAGGATATGGAATGAGCAGTTGCATGACTTTCACACCAGTTATCAAGTGACGCCCATGTTTATTTTTTTGAAATAAAAACGAGCGTTACGTCCTAGTCACTGTATTTGTGGATAATATTCTGGTCATAGTAAACAATGCGCATTTATACAAACAATTTTAAACTGGATTACAAACAAGATTTTTTGTAAAGTGAAAATATTCCTTGAAATAAAGATAACATTGAATAGCGCCAGAGAGAAAATCCAAGCAGATCAATCAGATTTCATTAGCACTATATTAAACAAATTTAATATATGTGATTCCAGTTGAGTAAGGAGCTCATTACCATCATAAACATTGCTAAGTGTAAGTTTAACTAAGCCAAGAAATAAAGTACCATTTGACCGACTACAAGTACTAAAACCGCAAAAGAATACTCTAACAGGATGCTATAGGCTGCCTAGTCTTTATCATTCAGTGTAAAAGTCTTGACTTGTATTATGCTGCCAGTCAAAGAAGTAAATTAAATACCAATTACACTGAAGAACACTGGCTGGTAGTCAAGCACATTGTGAGATATATTTAAAGGATATATCATTACTAACTACTCATTGATGTCAGCTACAGGGAGAGGTCTAAGGCTCAGAAAAACAGCTATGAAGCTTAGGACTTAAGAAAGTGATTCTATTTCTATCCACTGCAACAACAATTTGATGTTTTTCTTATTGTTTAAATTTTTTTATACATTCAAGTATCTATCAAACTTATTCACTGCATGTACGTGTAGAGACTTTTAAAACTATACAAAGAAATTTTATCTAATACAAGTTTATTGTCTCACTAATTGATTAGGAAAGAGCAATTTAATTTGGTATTAAGATATTAAAAAATAAGCATGTTACATTAATCTACATTACATCTTCTTTGGCAGGATTCAGAACTGAAAATAACTGGTCAGCATTCTTGAGCCTTGTTTTTTTGTTCATAGTGTTGTAACTGTCTGTTTCAGAGTATTTTATGATGGTCGAGAACATAAAAAAATCCTTAACAGTCGATTTCATTGTGATATTAGATTCTAATATTTTGAGAGAAAAAAATGCCAAAAATTCCCTTTGTTCTTTTATTAAAATAAACTTCCTATAATACTATAAATAAGTTTTTAACACAGACATTGTGTAATGTAACCTAATTTTTCAAATGTATGTCAACAACTTTGCAAGAACTATAATGATATGATGAAAAAGAAAACTAAGTATCTTTCTTCTCATGTTTTCACTCAAAATATATTAATGCTCGTTTTTCGCTTTACAATTTGCATTTAACTAACCCAGCTCTGCAGTTCTGGGCCTAAATCTTTTCCAACACGTATGCAATCAAAAAATGACTTCAGACGTTCTAGAGCTACAGAAAGTGATAAGCAGGTTACTAGGTAATGGGGTACCATGAAATACTAAAAGATGATCATGTACACATACCAAAATGGCAATGAAGGCCTATTATAATAATAATACTGTCTGCTGTATATGAATTCTAAATACGTTCTATTGTCGTATAGGGTTACGTAAAAAAGTATCATTTGAACTTAAAAACTAAATTGAAAACAGAAGAAATGCCATCCACTTCCACCTTTCCAAAGTCTTTTCATGATCCTACTTAGGAACATTTTGAACTGTAGGGGTAACAACAGAGGGTTAAACATATGATAAAAAAGGTGTAATATATTTCTTTAGGTCAGAGATTTGTACTTATTTGGTCTTTCCAGATTCATTCTCTGACCTCTACCACTACGTCCGATAATAGTTTGGTGATAGTACAAGGACCTAAAATCTTTGGGGCCAGTTTGCCTGAAAAGTTCTGGGTTGCTGATGACAAAACGTTGTTCTTTACCCAAACTTGTCTGCTAACGCAAATCAATACTTTTATACTTTCTATTGTAGTATCTTTCTTAATTCAAACGAGCCTTATTAAAATTTTTCATAAGTTAGATCCTTATCCGCACTCATTTCTTTACTTTGTCTTCCTAGTTTTTGGAACCCCTAATACTAAAGTGTAATAGGATTTTATCCAGTTTTATTGAAAGCTCTGCTGGCAGGGGATGTCTCTTAAAATTAAAGATGGCAGATTTCATTTTAGTCGATAAGAAATTAGTAGGTTTATGGCTAAGATAAATTTCTGGGGATGCTGGTCCCATAACTTTAAATTCAATTCCAGAAATGACTAAACAATAGAGTTTTAGGTTCTAATTACTCTTTGCACTAAAGTGGCTTCTACCAGAGTAATAAGGTGGAATTAAAGTATGCGCTGTATCTAAGTTGAAGTACATTTCTGTGACTTCGTTGTTTATCTATACAATATTTACAAAGTTATCTTAATTGGAAATTTAGTAAATTAAATAGAAGTAAAGCATAAAGTTAATTGGTTAGTGTCAAGACAAATTTAAACTATTTAAAAAATTTTGCTAAATCATAATTGTTAAAAAAAACATGTAAACTATGACTGATACATACACATACTAACAGAAACGTTAGAAAAGTATCTTAAGTGTTGATTATGATTTATTTAAAAATTACTGATATTTTCGCATAGCACTCTGAAAAATAAAAATACTTGCACTGCACCATTCAGTAAAAACTTGATTTGAACTAAACAGTGCACAAAAACTTGAAATCTTTCAGATTTTGTTTTATATGACATCTGCAATTAGCTTTGAATATCTGTAATAGTAACTTATTTTGTGAAAGTCGAGTTTTGAAAGTAATACAATGTAAAAAAGACGATATAATCCAAAATCTACGTTCAAGCTGTAATAAGAGTCAAGAAACAAAGTTAGCCAAGCTAAATCGAATTGAGTTGGTAAAATATTAAAATGCTACTTAAAATGCACATTAGAACTCACATGCACGTACAAAGTTGTTAACTCTTTTGAAAAAAAANCGCTTGAGTGTAATCGGATATCCACGTGCTTTAAATTATATTTAAGCACTGTTACTTACACAGCATATTAAGTTGCGAGAACATTACAGTGATATTGCAAAACTGCAGCAATACTGTCTAACCATTAAAAAATTACATGTACAGTGCCACGATATTGGAAAACAAAGCTTCGAAATTAAGGTGATCTTCTGTAAATACTGTAACATAAATATCATATAGTAATATTAATGGTTGTCACATTAGCAAAAATCATTAACACTGAAATATCTTGCAATATTTAGGCAGTATTATAATAGTACTAGTGTAATGAGCCATTGTCACAATATTACGGTAATATCAGATGGTGCCATACTTTACAGCAATATATGCTGCAACATAGCAGGAATAGGCAACTTTAATTAATTTTTCGCAATGTAGTTGCAACACATAACATGTCAACACAAGTCAACATAAGTCAACACAAGCCATGAATTTTCAATGACTGTATGTGATTTTGTAAGGTGCTACTATTAAGGGATGACTAATATTAAGTTTAGGAAGTTGACTACAGTTGGATTGGCTAAATGTTTACTTAAAAAAGCCCTGTAAGAAAAACTTTACAAACAAATTTTATTTTAATAAGCTTCAAAAATTTAGTCCTGAACTTTTTGTTGTATGATTTTACTTTATTTTTACAACGGGCAAAAAACATGTTTTTCCCTGTTTTCGTATTTATTTTTCATGTTACAGTGCCTGAGTTGTAGAAACTTATGATGCAAAAAGTTACATTCCAGCTAGATCTATAATTAAGTATGTCTCTGAATGCACAGGTTTAAATGTACGTGAAAGAAGTTATCGAAAAAACTAGTTTTATTGTGTTGGAACGCGTAAGTCAAAAAATCTGATAACGTACATACATACATCCACACATACAGCATGTGACCAACTCAGATTACACTCATACTAAATTCAAAATTTGTTTTATATAAAAACTAGACGATCTGAAAGTGATTACACTTTATGCTCTGACAAAATTATAAGGCACTCCCATACATTGGTCGTACCTAACAAAACTACTTAAATATAAATTAAAAATGCTGGAGGGTGTAACGCTTCGATGGTAAAATTGACAAATAAATCGATATTAGACTATTAACAATGATAAATTGTGCTTATTATTTGATCTTACTATTCCATCGATCTTACTAGTATATTTTTAATGCGTAAACAACGATTTTCATTTAAAAAACTGTCACATAAAAATTGAGACAGCTAGAAAAGAAGGAGACATTTTTACTAGAGGACTCTACTTTGACCTTCAACTCTAGGAAGCATATTAATATCATGTTGTCGGAATTTTTATAGTAATTACATTACAGTAGTCATATTGGTAGAATCCGACTTACCTCGGACAAGGGGGCGGCTTCTTGGAGGCTGTCACATTTTGGTAGGCAGTAGTTTGACTACGGCAGTTAATGAACATCCAGACAGAGAAAAATAGAATCCGTACTATCAGTGGCATTTTGTTCGTCCAACTCATGATGATATAAGTGCTAGACGCCAGTTTTTTCTGTGCTTCTGGATGTCTTCTTACCCAACTACTCAATAATCTAGTTGCTACAACCAGCTGGAAAACTAGACTAACTACAAAAGTCTTATGAATTTGAATGTACTGAAGCTTCTCCCACTTTTTCTCTCTGTTTTACTCTTTTTGTCTGTCTTATGCATCGTTTATTTACTATATACATATATTTACGATATACATCGCAAGGCTTTTTTTAAAATTATTTTTCCAAGCAAACTTAGATACTGCTTTAGGTTCTTACAGTTCTAATTTTACTTTTTCCAGAAGAGCTTTTATCTGGAGCTGGATGATTAAATTTGAAACTAAGCATGTAAAAATCAAGCGTGTCTTCTTTGTTTATAAGTGGCTTTAGTTTATATCAAAAATTTTAATTGGAGCTAATGCATAGCAATATAGAAATAATCCAATTGTTTTCTATACAACATTATTACTTAAAGAACGTTTCTGCAAATTTTTTAATACTAATGTGAGCCTAAACATTCCTAAAAGCCCGTAAGTAAGAGATAAAGAGAGAAAAAGAGAGATAGAGAGCAGTATTGACAGGAACAACAGAAAAAAATGGAAACAGAATTCAATTGACAATGTAGTTAAAGGCAACAGAATACAAAAATGTATATAAGAGTACTTACTTGGCAATGCTAATTATTAGGTTCAGGGCACAAGTCTTGTAAGGTTTGTGTGATAATCTTAGTTCCAAAAAACAGCTTTCACTCTGTAAACAAACAATGTTAAAAATTATTTGATTTTTAAATAAGGATTTGATATTTATTATTATTGTAAAACTGTCAAACAACAAAGATAATTATGAAAATCAATTTATGCTACAAGATTCATATATTAAAAAGATAAGTTAATTTCAGTCCCACTTTATATGTACTAAATTTATATTGTACATGTACTAACCGTAAATGTTATAAGGTGACTCAAAACTGTTCCAGACAATTCATCTGTATTTTATCAAGTAAAAAAAATCATCTCATATATGAGTACTTATGTAAACATCTCATCAATGATTAAGATTGGAAAAATTCATGTACAGCAGCATATTAAACATATAGTTGAATATAAAATACAGATATTATATGTTTAGAACTATAATATTCAACTGAGAATGATGAGCTCGCATAGAAGCTCGTCGGGAGAGTAGGAAGGAAGGCGGATAGATGACGGTACAAACGAATACAGCAGTCATTTGGGACGCACTCTTTCAAATAAGATACAATCTCTCCTTGTTGTTTTATGTAACTTTGGATCAACTTTAATGACGAAAAACTGATTTTTTTTTACACCGATGAAACCGTAATAAGAGCCATTAGCTTGATTACAATAGATAGTCTTTCTAATATTAACACTTAAAATGGTGCGAGCGCAGGGAAGCAGCAAGGGACGCTTAACTAGCCTAAGAGGTGGAAGCATACTGAAGAGCAAGCTCGTGGCTTCTCTCTGACTCAGCAAGTTTGATGTATACTCGTACATGTAGTAGGTGCGCGCGCTCGCTATACTGAACTACATGGATCACGCACACTCACGAGACAATCTCTGTGTCACACGGTGATTGACTAAAGCCTGGATTTTCTTATAGGCTTACGCCAATAGGAACACGCTTATACTTAAATGATATTACATATAATCCTTTCAATTTAAACTTAAGTTTGAATAAAATATACATAAATGCCCCTTGCTAGCTTATTAAACTATAATATAAGAAGAAAAAAAAGGCATGTATAGTAAATGTAGACTGCTCGTTCAATCCTTTCTGCTGACGCTGAGGTGGTAGGGGAGAAAAAACTTTGCATGGGTATCGTGTGCAGAATTTTTTAAAACGTTTTTCATAGTTAGCAGAGAGAAATTTTAGAGCGGAGAGGGGGAAGGGAGCTTTTTTGAAGAGAGAGGGGCCGCTGATAACGTTGCAAGTTTTTAATGTCCAGCGCTTGAGTGTAATCGGATATCCACGTGCTTTAAATTATATTTAAGCACTGTTACTTACACAGCATATTAAGTTGCGAGAACATTACAGTGATATTGCAAAACTGCAGCAATACTGTCTAACCATTAAAAAATTACATGTACAGTGCCACGATATTGGAAAACAAAGCTTCGAAATTAAGGTGATCTTCTGTAAATACTGTAACATAAATATCATATAGTAATATTAATGGTTGTCACATTAGCAAAAATCATTAACACTGAAATATCTTGCAATATTTAGGCAGTATTATAATAGTACTAGTGTAATGAGCCATTGTCACAATATTACGGTAATATCAGATGGTGCCATACTTTACAGCAATATATGCTGCAACATAGCAGGAATAGGCAACTTTAATTAATTTTTCGCAATGTAGTTGCAACACATAACATGTCAACACAAGTCAACATAAGTCAACACAAGCCATGAATTTTCAATGACTGTATGTGATTTTGTAAGGTGCTACTATTAAGGGATGACTAATATTAAGTTTAGGAAGTTGACTACAGTTGGATTGGCTAAATGTTTAATCCGAATAACAATAGAATAATTTTGCATATAATATTAAAAAGTTATTGCTAAAATATCCATAGAAGTCATATTTCTAATATTATAGACATATCTAAAATTATTTAAAATGACTCGACTCTCTTGATAGTAACGTGAAAGTCATTGAGTTAAAATCGTATGTAAAGTTTTTTAGAAGTACGAAATTGAAAAAGTAATAAGCTAGATTTTTTAACAGGGCGATTAATAGTTAAATAAATGAGCATAACAAAATAATTTTTATACTATTTACAGATTTTTTTTTACTAAGCTTAATTTTTTTTCACAAAATTTGAATCAGGAGCAGAAATATTGGATATTACAATTCCTAAAGGCTTGACCAAACTTATACAAAGTACCTTAATGCTACTCAAACTCTTTATTTCGACAGCAAAGTGGGGCCAGGCTTCACCAACGACATAGAACTTGAAAAGACCATTAATAAAAAATCTACTTTTCATGCACAATTAGTGCACCCTAGCATGCTCACAGTTAAGACAGAAGATCTTAAAAAATTTGGCACCATCGCTAATAACGACGCCACAATAAAATAATATCCGCTGATCTGATGTTTTTTATTTAGTTTCAGGGATTGTCGTCACTATCTTACTGGCATGGTTAGCGAGAAACGTCTGACATTGAGATAAATGCGACCTTAACTAGTCAAGTACTATTCTTAAGTTTGTCTAAAAGCAGATTCTCTCCAGCAGCACTTTGAAATGTAGAATGAAACACTTCACCTCTTATTAATAGCATAGCACCTTAGAACTCTAACTGAAGCAGAATCTGTATCATAAGTGGGGCAATCTTGGCTTCGTGGTGACATGAATTGTCTCCTTACCAGGACAATCTACGTAGACAGTGGCCACGTAAGTTGGGCTGCAAATGAATCAGCAAATCCATGCAGCCACCAAGCCTCTCCCTTGGCGCTTAATAAACATCTAGAAATTGCTCGAAAATTCCGCAACCTGCCCTAAACTGGAGCATCCCATTTATAAATAAGTTTGTACTATAAAAACACCAGAGTCTGAACTCTGAGAGTTCAAGAGTACCCTGTATTATACGAGGTGTGTTCAAAAAGTAACGAGAATTTTTTAATTTCGCGGGTTTGGAGAGTCCGCCTGTACAGAATTTTTTTTATTATGTTGATACATTTGTCCCTGAAGTACAATAAAATTTTTAGCAATATTTATTGCTTACTTTTTAAGTGACAGCCGCTAAAGTTCTTTTGTTAGACGTGTTTTTCGAGCTCGGCGATTTTCATTTGTAAAAAAAAAATGGATCAAAGAATTTGTATTCAATTTTGCGATAAAGTGTAGTGAAGTTTGTAAAATGTTAACAAAGGCATATAATAAGTCTGCTATGAGTAAAGCAAGGATGTACGAGTGGTATAAGCGTTTCCAAGATGGCCGCGAAAACGTTGAAGATGACGAACGACCCGGACGCCCAAGCACATCAACAACTGATGAAAACGAGAAAAAAGTGGCATAGTGCATCATGAATTCTTGCCACAAGGTCAAACAATCAATAAGGAGTACTACCTACAAGTTCAACGCTGTTTGTGTGAAGCAATCCGAAAAAAACGCCTGGATTTGTGGCAAAACAATTCATGGCTTTTGCACCACGATAATGCACCTGCTCACACTTCATTGCTTGCTCGTGAATTTTTGGCCAAAAAAAAAACTGTAACGATGCCTAAGCCTCCATATTCACCAGATATGGCTCCATGTGAATTTTTTCTATTTCTAAAAATAAAGAGAACAATTAAAGGCCATCGTTTTACAAGCATAGATAACATTAAAAGCGAATCGCTGAAAGAGCTAAAAGCTATTACAAAGATCGAGTTTCAAAAGTGTTTCGAGGATTGGAAAAAGCGTTTGCACAAGTGTCTTACATCCGAGGGGGATTATTTTTAAGGGGACAAAATAGATATTGATGAATAAATAAATATGTTTCTCATAAAACAAAAATTCTCGTTATTTTTTTAACACACCTTGTATGTTATTACAGTACAAGTATCTGACTCAACAGATATTCAAATTAGTACTCTAAGAGTACAAAACTGTTTGAATTCTTACAAACAAAGCACTGCTTATCACATAATGCAATATTTGTGCTCGTAGAATACAGAGCTGCGGTGGAATGTGAGAGCCCAAGACGTAGGGTGCCACAGTACAGTTCGATCGTTTTTACTGTTAGACACCGATCGCTGGAGCTCAGCTCACCGCAACTGCAGCGTCTTTTACGTTTACATATGAACATACACGAGCACGCACACACACTTACAAACATACACGCATAACAAATCGACAACAGTATGCTGTTAATAAAATAATACGATAAAAGTTCTGAAAAAATATACACTTAACAAACTGTCAGAACATTCTTCATTGAATTTTATATGAAAAAAAATGTAAAGTGATCTTGTACTCAGCACTACCAGTGTAAAATTCACTTTTTCTACTAGCAAAAGCACCAAATTCTATCAACTTGCAACATAAATATGTTCCTATATTTGATCTATCAGACATAGATAAAATTTTTTTTTTTTTTTTTTTTTTTTTTGTGTGTGATGGAGCGGGGACTGGAAAATCTTCATAGACACCCCAGCTAATCCGGTGGTAGTGTCAGATTCACCCAGTGTGCCTACCGACTAAAAACTAACCTCCCCGCATGGGACAGGTCCGTGAGGACCACTCCCCTAGAAGACAAAAGGGCATAGGAGAAGAAAGAAAAAGGAAAAATAACGGAGAATTTCGGAGACCGACTCGCTCTCGAAGAGATGAGAGGAGGGGGCACTTACGCATCTGGGCGAAGCTCGAATCACATGGATCAAATGTAAGTAACATTTTTGTGAATTACAAAAATTTAATGTCAAAATAACATACATTCTGTGTATCGTTTGACTTAAAATAATATCGACAAATATACAAATTTACTGTATGATAATAGTTATGATAGGGCTGAAATACACAAGATTTGTGAATTTTTAAAAAGATATGTATGTACAATGTAACTTGCATCAACTGTGTGCAGCCTGTTTGATTTTAACCACAATTTTTTTATTTAAAATTGATCTTAAATCGTGAATTGCATGTACAAAAAATACACCCCTTTGTTTATTTTACAAATTTTACATCATGCAGAAATATACTCCTTCATCAACAGCATTACAAATTACGACGGTTCCTGGTATA